GTGCACTGCCGAAAATATCCGAACTCCTAATGAGAACCGCAGACTAAAGTTTGTTCAGTTTCATTTGGGGTAACAAAGAGGACTAAACAACCGGTCTACACGTAAAGATAAATGTATGTTTGGAGGACTGAAACTGCCAGACAATCCACTCAAGCAGCACAAAAGGGAGGAGGGTATTTACAAAAATGTCGACTTGTCACCCCAGTTGAAGCCTAAAAACTTGGTCGAAAGCCAACGTGAGCGAATCCGGGATTTGGTCGGCAAAAACTTTTCGCCATTTTCTTGATTACCCGACCATTTACGGCGTCGCGGAAGCCAAGTCATCACACACCTCTAAAAACCATAGATTAAACTGCACTTTGCAAAAATTATCATGATTACATTTTGTGATAAGCAAGTGATTTACAAGTGAACAAGTGGTGAAAGTGGTTACAAGTGGTATCGCACAGTGAAATGTAGCATTTCCCACCATTTTTTTTGGCCAAAACTCAGGATACCCTGTGTGGCTAAACAACACCCTGGGCATTGTCAGCAATGTCATTTATGAACATAGCACAATCTGAGCAATATGCATGGGCAAAACACCATACTGCTTCAATGGAGTATTGAGTTATGGAAAAGACAAGAAACTGCTATAGGGCCGTTCATAAATTATTCTTTGAAACCATATACCTTTCTTTGAAACCTCGAGCTTACTGTAGATGTATATATATATATATATATATATATATATATATATATATATATATATATATATATATATACCCTATGTAAACCTGTCCGCTCAAAAATGTTACTGTAATTTGACAAACATCAAATGCTTCGCAAAGCCCATAGAGTGCGCCTCTTTCACCTTTTCGGGATGACAGTCGCGCTGCATGATTTCCATTCGTGATCAAATCACCAACTTAACTTTGACCAGCTGTGCTTGTTCAACCTTCAAGTAATTAATGAGTGCTACGGCAAATCAGCTCTAATAGGGAGGCGGTGTGCTGTGCATAATACGTAGCTTCATGGTTTGCATCTCAATAACCCTGGTAGTACATGGTCTGGCATCACCAGATAAGGGAAATTCGGTACCGGTTCTCACAAGGGCCGTCACATCTGCTAGTCCTTCCAGCGCTGACGCAGCGACCAGTCTCGTCAGTCAGCACGGCGGCCGGCGTCACCAGAGCTGGTGCAGCGACCAGTCTTGTCAGTCAGCACAGCGGCCAGCGTCACCAGAGCTGGTGCAGCGACCAGTCTCGTCAGTCAGCACAGCGGCCAGCGTCACCAGAGCTGGTGCAGCGACCAGTCTCGTCAGTCGGCACAGCGGCCGGCGTCACCAGAGCTGGTGCATCGACCAGTCTCGTCAGTCAGCACGGCGGCCGGCGCCACCAGAGCTGGTGCAGCGACCAGTCTCGTCAGTCAGCACAGCGGCCGGCGTCACCAGAGCTGGTGCAGCGACCAGTCTCGCCAGTCAGCACAGCGGCCAGCGTCACCAGAGCTGGCGCAGTGACCAGTCTCGTCAGTCAGCACGGCGGCCAACGTCACCAGAGCTGGTATGAACGGCCCTATAGTAGTTTTTATGGGGTAATAATCAGTTATTATAAGGCCATTCTCGAAAAAATGCTTTTTCGGTCCCTCAGACGTTGAACTGCTCTCATGCACAAAAACAGACATGAAAACGTGTTCCAGGATTTAAAAAAGTGCTGGTCTGAACGCTTGTTGCTTGAGTCATGATCCCAACGCCAGATGGGAAAAAATTTCAGGTCAAAGGCAGAATTTTGCGACGATAGTTTTATGTGCCGTAATGCTCGGCCGGTCGGTCCAACCCGCTGACGTCACCTGACCTTAAGCGCTGCTGCTGCCACCAGCCGCAAGCCATCAAAGTCGAAAGCAAAGATGGAGCGCTTAAAGCAGTTCGAAACCACCCCGCCACGCTTGAAGGAATCGGAAAACAAGCGCTTCAGCCAGTCAACTGAGCTACAGGAACAAACGGAGCGCACCATTTGCTAATCGGCCCCATTTATCTGAGCGAGGAACTAATTTACATACACAAACATCAATGAACACGCTTACCAGTGTAGAAACAACCAACAACACACGCATCAGACACTTGTTTATTTATCTCAAACCCTTAGGGCTCACATTCCCAGCGTAAAGCTCAACTCCGTTTGTTCAGAGCAAGGGGAGATACATGTAAGTAAAGCTTCCGAGGCCATCAGCTTTCTGGCGCCGTGACATACTGTCGAGATGGCAGCATTGCCAGTGGTGTCAGCTGCGGTGATAGCACGGTGCTGTTAGCGTGCATGATTACGTGAGGCACCTGTTCTGTGCGTGAGACACCTACAGTCACATCGCCAAACGTAGAGATAGTGAACTGGTGGGGACGCCAACGTAGTACACAAAACGAGGCCTGCATTCCTCTTGTGGGCCCTGAAAATTGTAAACCACATGTTTTTCAAGCCGGCCCTCCTAGAGGGTTTATTCTTGTAGACAGCAAGCTTCAGTTGTTGGTTGCTATCAGCTCATGTGACGTGTTCGGATGCCATGTACGTGGTGCGCTTTCATTTACTTTATACGCACCATTCGTCTTGTCTAGTCTCGACAAAATAGCTCTTTGTCTTCGACTTTCGTGCCATGAAAGGTTTGTTGACTCCACTGCCGTTTAAACTGTGGATAAATTCGCCGGTCCGACTCAGTGCTTATAAAGGGGTTATTGACTGAAATCGTCTTGGTCCGACACATTTACTGTGCGCACTCTCCCAGGCGGGACAAGTTCTGATGGCCTTTTAATAATACCTCGACTATGCCATCGTTGTAGCGAGCTGGGCACTCATTGACAGGGTAAATTTACGCTTTGCCCAAAGTCCAAAGATTTGCGACATTATCACGAGTAAAGTGAAGTAAAGAATAGCAAAAAGTAGAACACCGGAAAAATCAGAAGAATATGCGACAACTTTCCATGCGTTTAACACAGAAACAGTATGGCCAGATACGTCAGATATCAAATATCTTTAACATAAATCAGATATCTTTGACACTGGCATGATGGGATGAGAGCACAGCAGGTGACACCTGCGCTGTGGCGGCGTTGTAATCTATACTCGTGCGGTCACTTGTATCCCACGAACTGTCGCGATTATAGCCAGAGAAAAAGCACGAAAGCATCCACGCATCAGCTGTCGAGAACAAGCTAGCTTTGTGAACTTTATGAAACGGGTTTTTGCTCGTTTTAGGTAAAATCAAAATAAAGGAGCTTATCGGCATGTCAAGCGCTAAAATAGGACGCATCTGCTATGGGATTGCTTAGTTTACTTTAGAGCTGTCGTCCATTGCTGTTTTATGTGCCGACTGCTGATGCCAATTCGTGCTGTCGCCCGCACTGCAATATTCGGATGACTGTTTCAGAAATTGAGCACTCATGCACCACTCAAGTGGTGCAATTTTCAAGCCATTTCAACAGCTGCCATTACTTGTAATTACTGAGAATGCGTTGGATGTGATCTGCTTTGTCACCCGGACAGAGTTTCGTTCACCGGCGACAAACTGGTAAGTTATCAGCCGACAAACTGGCAAGTTATCAGCCTACAGACTGGTAAGTTATCAACCAACGCCCGGCCTTGGCTCCGACGAGACCGGGCTCCCCAGCAGGCCTTTCTGCCTCCAGTTATCACCACCCGGACACGCGCCCCCTCCCGAAATGTCATCTAGTGCCTGCGCCGCTGGTCCGGCCCCTAGCCGGCCGGCTTCCCGTCCACCTGCGGCTGACTGCCCCGGCGGCGGCGGCAGCGGCGGTGACGGCTCGGCCGGCGCCGTTTAGAAAGGGTGGCCGCTGCAGTAATCCCACGAGACCGGTCGGCAGCGCTGGCTAACGGTGCTGCGGGGCCCGGTCGCCCCTGCGGCGGCGGCCGACCCGTGCCGCCCGCCGGCTGCCCGGCCGGCCCTGTCTGGCGGAGGGTAGGGTTGTCGACACCGTCCGGGCGCCCGAGTCCGTCTGGGTGGGCTCGTCCCCTGGCTTGTCCGTCAGTGCTGAGAGACGACCTCTGACAGCCTAGGCCTCCGGCAGCCACCGTCGCGCTGGCCCGGCCTGTGCAGGGCCGGGGGCGCTTGGTTCTCCAGTCTGTTGGGACGAGTCACCGTCTGGCTTGGCTTATCTGTCTGGGAGGTCATCACGTGACCGCCGGCCTGGCAGACAGAAGACACGCCCTCCATCTGGCTGCCCCAGGGTGTGGGAGGGGGGTATCGGCATCCAGCCGCCCCAGTCCGATATGGCGGAGTGGGCAACCTCCTGGCTGCTCCAGCCTGCCCGGCGGGTTACCATCTGGCTGTCCCACTCCTCTACTGTGTCTCCCCTGGCCGCCCTATGCGGTCTAGATCCGCGGCGCCACCAAAAGCACAGCCCCTACTGGCTGAGCCCGGCCACAGGACTGCTCCGTAGCCGGGAGGGAGGGACATCGTCTGCGGATGTCCGCTACAGATGTCACGCCGCGGACAGATCTGGATCGGGAGCGCAGAGGCGCCACGGACAGATCGGGATCGGGGAGCGCAGAGGCGCCACGGACATACCAGGATCGGGAGCGCAGAGGCGCCAGGGACAGATCAGGATCGGGAGCGCAGAGGCACCACGGACAAGTCGGAATCTGGGGCGCAGAGGCGCCACGGACAGATCAGGATCGGGGAGCGCAGAGGCGCCTGCTGTCGATGTAAACATAGCAATGGATCAGGGATGCCCTGCACAGACTGGAGCGCGACCAGCCGTTGGTCGGCGAGGTACCGGCCCGGTCCGGTGAGTCCGGGCCCCCTGGCAACACGGCGCTCCGCCAGACACGCGCAGCAGGCACCTGAGGAGCCTGCGCCGACCGCCGACGCCGACAATAGGCGGCCAGCGGCGCCGGCGGCGGCGGCGCGGCGCGTCGTGCCATATGGCAGGCCGGCGGCGGCCGGGAGAGGTCGAGCGCCGGTCGCGGCCAGCCCCCTCCCCCCCGCCACCTGCGCCCTTCCGCTCGCTGGCTCACCTTGTGCAGGATGAGGCAGCGCGGCGAGAGGGCCGTGCAGAGATAGACGCCGCACGGCTCCAGGCAGCGGTTCAAGCGTCCTCTTGATCTCCCGGTGCACACACAGCTCGGGCGACCGGTGGCGCTGCTTGACGCGTGGCTTGCCGGACATGGCGCGCGCGACGCCGCTTACCCGGCCGCCCGCATGCCGCTGCACCTGTTGAATGGCACCGCTCGTCCGGCGGCCAAACCCACCATATTGGCGGCAGCGGCGACGCGCACGGCGCCCGGGGCGGGGGCGGGGGAGCGATCGATGACGGAGCGCCCGGACCACGTCGGCGCAACCGAGGACGCTCCGGGTCGCCGACGCACGCGCCCGGCCAGTCGGCAGAGCACTGGCGCGCCGCGGCCCGCCCCCGCCGCCGGCCGCGTGGGAGGGTGGACGTCACGCGGGCCGCGCCAATCAATGGCGCGCCGGCCAGCTGCCGCCGCCGGCGCCGAGCAGGTGACCCGACTCGGGGGCGCCGCCGGGCCGGGCTAGCCGCCGGGCCTGGGCTAGCCACCACAGTCAGCCCGGCGCCCAAATGGCTTCGGTGAGCGGTGCTCAAACAGGGTAAATACAGCCGAAAGTGGCACTTGCCAGTGTGCTCTTCCTGATATCACAAGGAACAACCTCGAGCTCTGATTTTTCCGCATTAAGAGTTCTCACTCTTAAAATAGCCGGCTGTCAACATTGCGGAAAGTACTAGCTCAACGAGCCGTCAGGCTGTCATCAAGATGAGCTATGAGAATGCTCGACGCGTCAGGGCGGTGTGCATGGCACACTCCTGGTGATGAACACAGCATTAGAGCTTCTAAACAGCCTTACAATGCATTCTGCTAATTGCTTGATGTCTTCATTTAACCAGAACCTTCTGGTTTATCGAAGGCCGGCTATTTTGAGCGCAAGAATGTGCGGCAGGAGCAGCTGCAGAGGCCCGGTTCGCATAACCAAACTGAGCCACTGCCAGATAGGACTGGGTCACTTCTAAACCAGGTGAGCGGCTGGGGCACCGCTTTGACCCTGTGAACTGACCTGGTAACTGGCAGTTCACGTGGCCAGGCCACTTCAGTTTGCTAAAGGAGACCTGAACTCCATCCCATTCATTAACATTGCAGCACGTGACCTATTATTGTCTCGGTGCCGTCAGTGTCTCGGTATCGCCGATACAACGTCGTGTTCAGTTTCTGTGCGGGTGAGCGCGAAGGAAAAATTAATGTTCCGGCAAAAATAGTTGAAAATGATTGTCTTGAACCCTTGTCATGGACATTTAAAACTGCAGTGTGATTTATTTGAAAGCTTCATTGACAGACGTTTCAACAGAGCACGCGGAATCACATTCAACAGCGAACGGGGCCGGTCCAAGTGGGCCAAAGGAGCCAAAAGCCCTCCATGGCGGTAACTGCCTGCCTCTGACTCGGGCTTACGCAAATTTAGGCGGCATTCTGAGAGATTACCACCTTGATTTGCTGCTGGATCGGCCGCTGAGCAAAACCTCTTGAATCATGCGACGGTCGCCCCCTCCTCCATAAGCCGAACTCCGTGGCACCCTGAGGCTCGAATTGAGGCTACCTAAGCCATGGCAGGTCATGGACCTTTGCCATACGCCACGAATCTGGTAAGGACATTCGTTCCGAGGTGCGCGTCAAGATACGATGGGATCGTTCGGCTCGTTCGTAACGCTCGGTTAGCCGGGTGGATATATCCCAGGCAGCTCGGCAGCGCCTGGGTCAATACAGAATGCGCCGTAATGTCGGCAGACACAAAGGTCAGAAAGGCAATGTTCTGCTAACGCTAGCTTCATCACGAGCGTTCCACATCTACTCAGACGGCGCGCGCAGGGCAGCGTGCCCCGTGACCGGCCGTCAGCCGCGCAGGGCATCCAGCCCCGGGCCCAGCCGTCGGCCGCGCGCAGGGCAGCCTGCCCGATCCCAGCCGCCGTGTGCCACTCGAGCGGGTAGCGGATGATCTGCCGCAGTCGTCTCGGTGTCGAGTCGCCCTGATCACATGTTTTCGAGTCGACCGGGCAGACCGACTGATGACTGTTGCGTGACTGTGTCACTTACAGCGGCAGCGTGCCTGTCTCGCGTAGGGCACTCTCGTGCGTCCCTGCGCTGGTTGTGGGACGCTGTACGCTGAATAACAGTTGGTGTGCGGCCAGTGCACTTCGGATGTCGGCAAGTCTGAGGCATGATGGAATGTCCGCAAACTTTGATGTGGCAAGCGTATAAATGACATTGTTTGAGTGACGTGAACAGTTTTCTGTGATGTGAACGAAGGGTATTCATTCTACCCTGCATTCATTTTAATTATACTAAAGCGTTATTTGCACAACTACCACCGTGATCGTACTTCTGAGGTACAAATAACAATTGCAGTAGACGCGCCTTTAAAACCCATCGTCTGTGATCATGTTCATTGTATTTACTCGCTGGCGTATAAAGACTACAAATCTCGTAAGTTATTCGGTGCATTTGCGAGGAACATTATTCACGTAGGAACACACGCACACAAGCAGGGTCCAGGCGCAATGACGTGCATAGTTGAAGGCGACTGGTTGGCATCGCAACATACATGTCCGCAGGAAATTCACCGGAGTACGCCTTTTCGCGCAGAGAGGTCCGAAGAACTCGGCGACAGGAGTCACCGCGGTGAAGAAGTCGCACCGAGCGACCTCCCGGGGTCACACCGAGCGATCCTCTGGGAGCGGCCCGGGACCGGAGGCCAGCCGACGCTGTGGCCGATCCGTTCACGGCCTGCCGCCTATCTGCAGCTCAGCTGCG